ATTACAAATCTATGAATTCTCGTAACTCGTTCATAATAATACCGCCAGTATTTTCTTCTTTCTCAGAACTATTCGTAGGATAAGGGTTTGTTGATTTATTCTCTTTTCGCCTGAAGTCTAGCAACATTTTATTGTTCAAGTAGAACAAGTCGTTGTAGCTCGTATGTTGACAAGTTTTCTTCAGTTTCTTGCTTGAATTTTTTCTTCCTTGGAGCTTGTCTATCATTTCTGTAGGTACAGGAGGTAACTGTGAACTCATCTTAGTTGATCCATTATTGCCGGGAGTATCTGTTTTCCCGTTGTTACTTCCAATGGAACAACCCCCAGGAACTTGTACTAACACTGGATTTTTTCATAATTCAGTATTTCCAAGAACTCATTTCCCCACTCACGTAGTTTAATTTTTTTGTTACCACTCGTATTTCTATTTTTTTTTTATTTACACTTGTTTTCATGTTATTGAGAATTTTTTTCAATTTCTCAATGGTAACACTTGTACCAGAGGTTTTGACAAATTCTTCTTTGATATTCGTCCAGCCTCTTTTATTAACCTGGCGAACATAAGTCGCTGACAGCCAGTCTGGACAGGTAATTCTTCCTCACTCGACGACATGATTATAATAATACCTCTAAATCTTGACTAACAACTAACTAACATTGTACACACCGTATCAAAAAGATACAGACTTGTCGTGACTTGTCTTGCAAGCGTTAACACCGATATCCAAGTAAATACTTATAATTATGATAAGGAATAATCAAAGACTTATAAGAAAAAACTTTAATGCAGGAGATTTTTTCAGTATTAACTTTTAAGAATAAACTTATTTTTATTCAAATGAAAATGAGAAATACCTTGTGCTTATTAGTATCAACTTATCCATATATAAGATTTTAATTCCAGGACAATTTTTTTTTTATTCAATAGACCCAATGAGCCGTATTCATAAAACAAAGAATATCATTGTACTTTATATATATATATATATATATATATAGATTTTGCAGGAAATCCTCCAGATGGTATTTATAATAATTTGAAGGATATGCTTGAGTATAAGCATATCCTTCAAAGCAGTGACATAAGTAAAAGGATATTCATAATCTTCACCTTATACTTGGCATAGGAAGCATATCAAAAAATTCTGAGCCTTTAGTGTCTAATGGTTTACCGAATGTTGATTCGTATTTTTTCAACATCTTCTTCAAGGCATCGTCCTTTCTCATTTTTATTTTTGGAACTTGTGACTTTTGCAAAATAATGGGAGCAATGTCAATTTCATCTGCGATGAACTGCAGGTCGTTGCCATTATTTTCTATAGTTTGCTCATCACTTGAGGATGACATTTTTATTAATTTGATAAAAAACTGTATCCAGTAAAAATACGGAACGGTCTGTGTAAGCTCTGGAGTACAACTGTCAGTGATGCTGACTGAACGAACTCCCACGACAACTACAAGCTGGAACAAGTCAGGACATGTCCATCAAGATACAAATACTAGTCAACCTTTTACTTCTTCTTAGAGGATATCCTCGCGAGTATAAGGTAATCATTATGGATTTGAAAACAAGCATATGCTTATACTTCTACCTTTTTCTCCGAAGCAAGACCTTATACTTTTACCTTATGCTGCCCAGGATATGCTTCTTTTTTATGAATACGGCTCATTGTATCCGTTTTATATCCCGGGTGCTTCAAAATTCGGTCCACAAATAAAACGAATTTAGCCAAAAACGTTTTAATTATTTCTTGACTTTATTTGTAATGGAATGTTAAAATAAGTTGCACATTATCTTTGCCAGTTTTTCTCCTCTACAAGACTGCATAATTAGAACTTCAATATGACGCTTCGACTCTTTCTTTCAATTGACGATAAAAAAAGACGTCCAATGTTGGCATCTACGGATTTCTCGAATTAGGGTAAGGTTTATAAAAATTAATTTTTTTAATAATAATTCTCAACTACAATTTATGAACGTGTACAGTAAATGATGCCCATCATCACAAAATAAATGTTTCACTCTTTTAAAACATATGTTTAGCTTCTTTTCATATTATTTTTAATCGATAACAAAATAGGTGTCCGTTTTGTGGAGCTTTCCTCCATTAATATAAAAACTATAAATTTTGAAACTATGACGATTTTGATTTTGTAAAAAGTAACACCTACGCCCGCCGTGGAAATTACAAAATCTCGTAGTATCACCGAATGAGGAGCTACAACAAAGTACTAATAGCACGTTATCCGACAAGCAATAAAAACGTGCATAGTATTACAGACGATTCTTCATTCCGACGAATTTTTATTTTAGTCTTGTCACTGTCGGGCGAGTAAAAACATGGCTTGCATACGAAATGTTATGAGAAGGCGAAGAATGTTTAGGCTTGGCTCCTCAAACGACACCGAGAGCTTTGGTATAGTCTGTTTAAACACAAAATAAATACTTATAAGATTGAGTCAAATATACACTTGAGTCTGAAAGAAAAGGCTATGTATATTTCCTATACATTCATTTTATTCAATGAAAAATCATTTTAGGTATTCAGTGTTTTTTTTTCTAACATATGGTTTTATTCGCTTAAAGCTCGATGAATCTTGACGCTATAAAATAGCAACTCCTTGTGCCAGTTATAACTATTTACAAGGTACTTGCTCTGACAAAAGGCTTCAATTTTTTTTTTTGAAGTATGCGTGATTTCAATCGGAAAAACTTGAGCAATCGTAAAATATGTAAAATTCAAACCCAACATACAACAGCTTACCATATCTGTCCTGCAGGATTTAACATCTAACAAAGAGTACTTAATCCGTTTCAATGAGGTAACATTATCACTTTTCAAGTTTATAGAAATTGCTTGAGATTTCTAATAGGGTGAATGTGCCAGCAACCCGAACACTACTAGTTGTCGGACAAATCTATATTATCGGTAAAAACTTGAATATTTGAAATCCTATACGTATTGATAATTGGTACCAACTTGTGACAAAATTTCACATCCACAGTTGTCATATTGACAACAATATTAGCGTGTTAAAAACACCATGCATTCGATTCCTCAATTTGTGCCATTTGTGTAGTGAGTGACATAAACTTTAAAGGCAAGTAGAATCGTCAGCTGACAATATTTATAAATACTGTTCTTGTTACATATACAGGAGGCATTAAAAATTTATGGAATAAATTAATCTTAATATGTTGTTTTAACATTTTGACTTATTGGAGTCGGCGCTGACTGAATGGTCATACTAGTCAAAATCCAATAGTTGGACAAGTTAAGAGTAGACTAAGGATGGATTGTGTAACTTGGCATTACAACGTGAAATTAAGTTCAATTTAAAATGCTAATTTCAAAAAAGGTAGTACAGTGGAATCCACTTATAATGAACTTGCTTATAATGGAAACCCGTATATAATGGACACAATTTAAGGTGCTATAAATAAATGCATGTAAAATCCTCGGATATTATAGACTCGCTTAAAATAGACCGTCGCTTATAGCGGACGAGCTATTTTGGTAGTTCCCCGAAGCAGCAAACATGTCGAAAAGTGCGAAACATGCATTCACTTTACACGAAAATTTCACAATAATTAGTGAGCTTGAGCTTCATCTCAGCTCATCTCATCGCAAATATATGTGCTCGTATCGCAATAAAAAAGTCCACTGTATCAAATATTTGGAAAAACCGTGACAAAATTAAAAATAACTGGAAATAAAATAGTCAACAGAAAAAAATGCGGCTATCGCTGCATCCCCAAGTCGATGATATGCTGTTTAAAAGGTATCAACAAAAGCGTGCTAATAATTCTCCAATAAGTGGATCTATGCTACAAATAAAGGCTGAAGAATTTGAGAAATTGATTGGAGATTACTTCAAATGTAGTTCCGGTTGGCTAGACAGGTTTAAGGAAAGACATAACACTCCTTTTGGAAAAATGTGTGGTGAGTCAGCTTCAGTTGACAAGAACGTTCCCAATGACTGGATTCCTCAAGTTTGGTCCGTAATATCCAGTGATTATTCAGATGATAACATATTCAATGCAGATGAAACTGGGATATTTTATAGCATGCTACCAGATAAAATTCATAAATTAAAAGGTGAAACTTGCAATGGATGGAAACTATCAAAAGAGCGAATAACTGTTGATGATTTGTGCTAATGCTTCTGGTACTGAAAAACTGAAACTATTGATAATAGATAAGTGAATGAATATGTTCTAATTTTTTTGTAAATGTTGACAATAATTTAATAGCAACACAGGAATTGTCAGACTAGAATTTGCTTAATGAAGGATCCGATGATAATGAACAGGAAGACGAACTAGAAAACAACGATGAAGAAGAGCTTCCAGTAACAACTAAGGAGACATTAGACTGCGTTGCGTTGCAACGTTATTTTCAGCAAGAAGACAGTACAGCCACACTCACCAAATTAAATAAAATTCAACTTGCTGTTCTAAATAATTATGCAAAAAAACAATCTGTTCAAATGAAAATAACTAGCTTTTTTACCAAATAATTTACGGTTTTTACACATACCTACACAGTACGTATGCCTGTAGTATGTGTATCAGATTCTTAAAAAATGCAAATTTCAAAATTACGTATAACTTTTTTGTATGTATCTTTATGTATGTAATTCATGTTAAACTAACAAATTTTAAGCTTTTAATATGTTATTTCTGCTGCTTTTTTCATTAAAAGAAGTGTCCATTATAAGCGGGTTGCACTGTATTTATAATTTGCTGTCTTTCCCCCGTTTATAAGTGTCTCCATTAATAACATGACCAAATTCCTCGAGCATGCAAGTTAAGTGTCAATTTACTAATGCATTGCAGTTATAACAATATAAAAAAAATGATGTTATGTTTTAAGTCGCGGGTAATAGCTGGTCATTTATAAGACCAAAACATTTGTAAAAGGGAAAATCAGTTTCATTTTCATTCTCAAAGCTTGACAGTTTAAAAGTTCAAGTTGTCATAAGTGTAAGGTACTTACATTGCCGGATAATCAGCGAAAGGGCGAGTACCATTCGAGTAGAGCACATTTTATCGTTGATTGTCACCACCCGAGCAGTCGAAACAAGTTTTGGAATGTGAGGGGGCAAGGCAAGGAAGGCTTGGCAGTTTAAGTGTGGGCCGTGGTATGTCGCGCGATGAGTCGAGCCTTTGCAGGTAGACAATAGGGCCTTGTCGTAGCCCACCGATTGTCGCCGTATCGTACCAGTGCCAGAACCACCGGCGTTTGCGTCCTACCGACTGAATGGGTTCTTGATGCTGATGGTACGAAGGTAATGGTAGTGCCGGTCGTGCTGCTGAAGCTTTGCCTGGCGCGATGGCACAGGTAGACGATAGGACAGGAAGCAATTCACATTTTTTGTTATAACCTGAAGATCAGGATTTCTTTTTACCTACCATAGGCAAAAAAGCATTGCTTGTCTGCATTTTGTTTAAAGAAATGTTTTTTTGACAGAGCTGAACAGATATCATCTAATCATAATAATAATGATCCTCGACAGCAGTGATACCAAAAGATCTTCATAACAGCATCAAAATTTTGGTGTTGCAACAAAACGTCTTCAAGCTACTATAAAAAGCAGTTATATTGAACACCAGAAGAATAGCTCGACGTTCTAAGTCAAGATTAGACGAGGATGCTTGGTCAAAACCCGTACCTCCCCATATACCAAGAAGAGATCTGAGATGAACCAACGATAATAATAATAATAATAAAAATAAGGCATTAGGGTGAATCGCTTTGATCTCGGGTAGAGATCTGGATTCACGTAAAACTTCCCCAATAGGGCAAGAGGAAACGCTATAAAGATAATAATAATAACCCCGATAGCACGAAAGATTCATTAAATATTTATTCAGTATTTCACAATATTTTTATCTTACTTAAATATTTGTTATCTTAAACATATACTTCGAAGTTGAGTCATTTATTTTAACTGTGAGTAGATCTGATCAAAAGAAATGTTTTTTCCTTTAACATTTTTCTGGTAAAATTAAAGTAACAAAGTTATAGCGCTTTAGAAGTTTGAGTACCGCCCTGTCTCAATAATAATATTATGTGCTCGTGTTTGACAACAACGAATATAATCCGCCTTATCCGTTCATCGCATCGGAAACAAAAAAGCGAAAGAATTTGAAACGATGTTTTTACAACAATGTACAATTTTATTCAGTTGTATTCAGTTGATGTGTCAGTCGGTAACGCGTGAGTGAATAGTGGTGTTTGTTGCGTGGCTCAAACGAAATAAAAAATGGCACATGTTTACGAAAATGCTGAATGTAGTACAAAGGGCTCGTGAATCAGGTGACTTAAGACCTCACAGGGGAGGGCATGCCGGTGCTCCAAGACCGCACGATCAAATACAGGTCCGCACTGAAATACTTGTCGGGAGGATACTTTATAAAACAAGGTAACATTTTTTTTTTATTTTTTTTTTATTTTACACACATATTTTGGTTTATCTTCCTTCTATAATCATTATCTGAAAATTAATGACTCAACTTCAAAGTGTAATGAACATTTGGAATATAATATTTATTCAATATCATTTTAAATACAATATTTCTTTTATAATATCATTCAAATATATTACTTTTCGATCAATGGAAAATATTAAAACTCCATTATTTAGAAATTATTCATTCAATATTTTCGGCTATGGCGCATGTGCATATGACCTCGAGCGACCAATGGCATAGTGGCAAGCCGACCTGAGCCGACCCGTTTGCCGGTATCCATTTTGCCTGTGAGTTTCACTATAATAGCGTGCTCCCTGTGTACCTCCAAGTGGTACATTATTTGAGTGTTTTTTTTTTTTGTGGAAAAGGATAAGTAAACACTATTGTGCCAGTTGAGTATAAAGCTATTTACAAGTCCATAAATAACTAGCCTTGAGGTGTATACACTTATTTGCGATTTGGGATTTATCTGAAAATGGATACGTAAATTATATTCATAACATCTCAATGAAAAGTCATATAATCACAACTTGACCGAGATACATCAAAAATGCTTTTTTTAAATATCTCAAGTATTATTATTATTTTTGTCGTAGCCGGGGGCAAATCAGCTATAACTATTTTAAAACTTTTAAGTTCAACAGGGACGTTCCAAAATTGTACAAAACAGTTATGGTTAAATTAGCACCCTTACTACTGCAAGAAGACACATTTCGACAAAGTTAATAAGAGGTCTATTCTCAAAAACCTTATCTTTGAAAGTGAGTCACTGGATCAAGTTGTCCCCATGAACATTTTTCAACAATATATCTAAAGTAAAGTATCAAATTTTCTTAAAAATTAACCAAATCTCGAACTCCGATAGGAAGAAAATGTGGGGTACTTTCAGGTGCATTATAGAGCTGCTTTTTACAGATCTAGTTGAGCTACTCGGATTAATTCAACAGCAGTGCTCAGCACCAATATTGTTCCACTGCATTTTATATTCCCATAAATACATTTTCTAGAGTAGTTCATGAGATATTTCTCTCGAACAAAAGACCACTGGAAAGTAGCTTAAGTATTCAATAATACTTCATAATCAGTAAGTTTGATTTTTTTCAGACGAGAGGATTTGCAAGATCCAGAAGAGGCTTAGAATGTTTTCTTAACGAATTTTTCTAGTAAATTAAACCATTATATCTAGAATGAATTCTCTTTATAAACCCAATTTTATAAAAGCATTCCTACAGATTTTGCTAAAATAATGCTTGAAAATCTGTTGCCTCATATATTTCGTAAATACATATTTACGAAAAAATATTAGATAGTTCATCAAAATATAAAACTCATATTTGAAAATCTTTCCTCATATATTTTGTAAACATTTTGGAAAAAATATATCAAATATCTATACTGATTATTTTATGAATATATAAGAAATATATATATATATATATATATTAAATATTGAAAAATCTGTCGGTACAAATATTTAACAAACATTGTTTTAAAATATTTAATGAATATTTAATGCTATCGTGGAATGTGACTTGACTTGACGGCTACACTTCCACTTAACCACAAGATGGAAGAAACATAACAAAAAGTTTACACACGCGAACATAAAACAATTACAGAACAGTTATGAAATCATACTATTTACAAACACAGCAAGCCAGAAAGAAAAAGCTAACATTCGAAACTTAAATAATAATAATAATAATGTTTATTTCCAGCTGGCAGATACACAAAATTACAGGAAATGAATAAGAATTAAAGAATAACAAAACAATAACTCAAGCATTGAGAGATGTTTGCATCTCCAGCTGTTTTCTAACCGATTTTTGAAGACAGCTAAACTTTTTTGTTTGTTATTTGTTCTTAGTGCATTATACGTAAAAGATATTTGATACAATGAAGAACGGTGAAGAGGAATATCGAAATGATCATCTTGGCGTTCTTGAGACTGAAGTTCTACGAGGAAGTAACTTACTTGCTAGGTACATAGATCTACAAATTCGAAAAGATTTGTGAGCTTCAGTCACCTCAACTCACAAATTAATCATAGATGTAACACGGCTGTACCTACGGAAACAGAAACAAAACGACATCAACAGTTTTAAATTCTCTGCAATCTCTGGGTTTTTGTTATGGAGTTAAGACAATGATAAAATTGGATGAAACAGTAAAGTAGTTTAGACATAAACAAACTCTTTACTCATTTCTTTCGAGTCCTGGAATATAGGAGCCTCAAGCTTGCATATGTAGCTTTTAATATATTACTGACGTGCTGATGAAGTTCACACTAAACTTTGTGCGTGTGTGACCAGCGGAATATGGACGTTATTTACCCTCAAAGCAATCGTCTTTTCAAAACATTCATAGTTGGTTTTAGGACAGAATAACATAGCAAAGCTCCTGTTAGGATCAAGGTTCAAACAGATAACCTTGCAATAGTTACTTATGTTTTAATTTTATCCGACATTTGATCTGAGTCAAAAGTGAAAGTCAGTTGGGTATCGCCAGCGTAAGTGTGTATACAACAGTGTTCTAAAACAGTATGCAAGTCTAAAGACTAGATTAAGTATAAGAAGTACGGATCCTTGAGGAGCACCAGAAGTAACATCAGCGCTAGCAGAAACGCCTTGGCTTGTTCTTATTGATTGCTTGCAATTGTCTAAATAAGATTATGGAAAACAAAAAGGAACATCAGAAAGTCCATAGAATTTTAATTTGGATACAAGAATGTCATGGCTAACCGTATCAAATGCTTTAGAAAAACTACATTAGTACAATATAAATATGATTGTTTTGATCAGTTATGGAAACTAGGCTGATAAATCAGTCAATCTTCGATAGAGAGAGACATTTTTTTTGCCCATTTCTGACTGAAGAATGCGTTTTCAGACCTAGGTCCCATGGACACTTTTTATTGCCATAATATGAACTATTGATTTGGCAGGTTTTCATTCATTTCAACCGAAAGTGTTTTCCCATTGCTTCTGTGCGGGGTGTTTTGTTTTATAAAACTCATAAATTAGTAGCGTTTGTACCGGCAAGCTCCATATCTATGTGTAAAACAGTACGCCTCTGTTTCTTGCAAAAAATTAGTATCACTACCTCAGAGGCTTAGAGCCATATATTGTTTCTACTTCCCCTTTAATTTTTGTGTAAATGTTAACTACCTCTTACCTTTGCCTTTAAAACTAACAATGATAGAGAAATGTTTTAGATCCGCGTTCTCATGCCTATCAAAGCGAACCGCCTGGCGAACCAGTCCGGCATATACTGTGTGCTTACAAAGTTGAGTCATTTACTTTAACTGCTTGTAGGACTCGTCAAATGGAGTTGTTATACCAAAATCTCCTTTATAAAAATTGCATAATAAAAGAAATAGTAAAAGATTAAAAAATGGTATTACACAGATTTTTTTCATATTCTCGACCACTGCTGTGTTTTGTTAAACTACGTTTTTAAATTGGGTAATTAGCAAATAAATCGCATTAAGTTTTTCTAAGTTAGGCAAAAATGTTTAGTCAGTAAGTAAGTTTCATTAAATTGGATATTTAAAACACACATGACAACAGCGCGTCGGTCATGATCACCCTTATAGAACCGGCAATCGATCGCAAAAGGTAACAGTGGTTAGTATGATGTTTTGTTTTTGTTCACGTACGTCGTCGTCTTTATTTGTTACCAGAAGACTATCCTCGCAGACTAACATTCTGTCAGTGGTTTTTGCACAAAAACATTGAAAATCCGTATTTTTTTAAAAACATTCTGGTGTGGGATGAATGTACTTTTACGCGAGACGGGATATTAAATTAACATAATACTCACACGTGGGCTCAAGAAAATCCTCATACCATTCGTGAAGGTCGTAAAGAAGCTTGTGTGGAAAGTGGAGGACGACATTTTGAACACCTTCTTTAAATACAAAAAAAGTGCAATGTGGGTTTTAAAAAGAAAAACAATGTATAAATCAA